TTTTCATGATCACATTCATATTTTCATACTTTATATTTCTCAAGTAACAAAAGGGGAAATTTGCCTTTTTATTATTTTTAAACACAGTCTCTTCAGTAAAAGACATTCTAGCATCAGTCAGAATTATTTCAGATACTCTATTTTCATGAATCACCTTTTCTGTGAAGCAGAGTTCCATGAAAAAGCCTGAATCAACAATCCACTGGAAGAAAATAAATGAAAGCACTGATACTTTATGTTTTCCAATTTCTGTGACTTTTAGTAACTTTCTATGTCCTAGAACTTAGTCAATTATTTCTGACATTCTCTGTTTTTTAAACTGAGTCAAATTTTACATGATCTTGACCTCCTTCTAGTTCAGAGTTAATGTCACCCAAAATATTAATTCATTATGTTTTCTAGGGCTATCTTGAATTTGTGTTACTGAATCTCATTATTTACTAGTTAAAAGCCTGAGACTAAGACAAAGGATAGGAAGATGGTAGCTGAAAGGGGAGAAGATAAATGATAAAGGATAACTCTGTTTACTTCACAATTCTGCCTTGCCTCAACTAGAACTCAAGAACACCTGAAGTGAGCTTAGCTTCCAAATGATATAAGTGAATCACTTGGATTAATTTTAATGGATAAATTTAAAAACGGAAGCATACTGACAAAGCATGGCACTGTCTGGTGGAATTTCTCTGGGACCACTAACTGTGTATTCTGGACAAGTCATGAAATATTCTTGTTAGGAAGGTGGAAGCAACATTCTTTGGTGCTCATTTGAGTTGTACAAATCAAAAGAGAGACAAGGAATGTGCCTTCTAACCTGAAAAAGTGATAATGACTTCATTATATTTGTAGTTTACCATTACCTTAATGGTTTGGCATTTGCATTCTTGACTTTGAATATTAACCTATTTAACTCCACAGCAATAGCTCAATGGTAGAGCCAGGAAAAGTTAAGCAATTCCTCCCACAATTTTCCTCATGTATATTCAAATAAAGAAAAGCTTGCTTCTCCCTCTTCATTCTAGAACAATCACTTTATTGCTATTCATCACTGTTTATATTCAGATAAAGGAATGGAGCTAAGTTACTGAGTGGTAAAAAAAAAAAAAATGGGGGCTACCAAACAGGACTGCTTAGAATAGTGCAAACAACTCCCATGAAACAAGCCTGAAAGCATTAATTGAAGAACACCAAATAGTGACTGGCGATTACATGGTTTTATTCATTTCAATATTGGCAAAGTAACTTTGAGCAGTTAGGTTATGTGTTTTATTTTCCGAGAGCTTTGAAAACAATAAATGATTTATCTTCTTTTTTTTTTTAAGAGAGAGTGAGAGAGGAGAGAGAGAGAGACAGAGGGAGAATTTTTAATATTTATTTTCTAGTTCTCAGGGGACACAACATCTTTGTTGGTATGTGGTGCTGAGGATCGAACCCGGGCTGCACGCATGCCAGGCAAGCGCGCTACCGCCTGAGCCACATCCCCAGCCCATGATTTATCTTCTTAAACAAATTTCACTGAAGAATATAGTTTATTGGTTTTTATGTCACTTAAAAGGCAATTGGAATGGGAGAAAATCTTTACCACATGCACCTCAGGTAAAGCATTAATCTCCACGATATATAAATAACTCAAAAAAACCCTAAAACCAAAAAACAAATAACCAAATCAATAAATGTGCTGAGGTACTGAACAGACACTTCACAAAAGAAGAAATATAGGGCTGGGGATGTGGCTCAAGTGGTAGCGTGCTCCCCTGGCATGCGTGCGGCCCGGGTTCGATCCTCAGCACCACATACAAACAAAGATGTTGTGTCCGCCAAAAACTAAAAAATAAATATTAAAAAAAGAAGAAATATAATCAATCAACAAATATATGAAAAATGTTCAACATCTCTAGAAATGAGAGAAATGCAAATCAAAATTATTCTAAGATTTCATCTTACATCTTATTATATTCTTCATAATTGCCAGTCAGAATGGCAATTATCAAGAATATAAGCAAGAATAAATGTTGACAAAGATGTGGGTACATTCCTGGTGGGAATGCAAACTGGTACAACCACTATGGAAAGGAGTATGGAGATTCCTCAGAAAATTTGGAATGGAACCACCATTTGACCTATCAATCCTGCTCCTCGGTTTATACCCAAAGGACTTAAAATGTTTATAGCAGCTTAACTCACAAAAGCTAAACTATGGAACCAACCTAACTGTCCTTCAATAGATAAATGGATAAATACAATGTGGTATACATACACAATATTACTCAGCCTTAAAGAAGAATGAAATTATGGCATTTGCTGGTAAATGGATGGAGCTGGAAAATATAATGCTAAGTGAAATAAACCAATCCCAAAGAACCAAAGAATGAATATTTTCTCTAATATGCAGATGCTAATTCATAACAAGGCGGGATAGGTTGTGGTAGGGAAGAATAGAGGTACTTTGGATTAGGCAGAGGGAGTGGAGGGAGGGGAGGGAATACAGGGGGAAGAAGGATAGTAGAATGAATCAAACATTTTATTATACTTTGGGCATATATCATTTATAACCAGAAAAATGAGAAGTTATATCCATTTATGTATGATGTGTCAAAGTGCATTCTACTATCATGTATAACTGATTATAACAAATTTTTAAAAAGGAAATTGATCAAAAAAGTCTCAAAGATAGGGTAAGTACAGAGGTCTAAAAAGAGAGCTTTTGTGTTTTTTTAAAAGAGTAAGCACCTTGGAAATTAATGTATACTTCAATAAAATTAAGTTCTCATAAGTTATAAAGTACTACTACTATTAACATTAACATAGGAAAATGAGACTTTCTCCTCATGTTACAGGAAAGATAACACATACATGCATACATAAAAAATTACTGAAATATGTAACTATTTTGTTTTTCCTACTGTAAGAATATATATAGAAAACTGCACTTTCTAAAAAGTCAGTGATACTTGTTAAGTATCTGTCTTATGTGAAACTTTTCAGAAGCACATTTTCTAAAATATTCTTAGTGACTTGTTTTAAAATTGTACCTCCTTCCTAAATAATCTCTAACTATATCCATATGAACTAAACACTTATTTCCCTTAGAGGAGGAAAAAGATCTATGCCTGTTTATGGCTTTGTCTTGCTAGCTCTAGCAAAATGCTGAATTCATTAAAATTAGAAGTACAAATCATTTAAATAACAAACATAGTCATAAGCCCTCTATATCCCATGGAATTTATCTGACATATCATCAGATATTACCAGAAAGACAAAGTCACATCATCCTTGTGAGTTTTCACCCACATAAAATGAGTCAACTTAATTGATTTGGCTTTTTCCCCCCCCAAGAATGCTGTGGTCTGTGCAATGATTAATTTCAGATTTCAATATTTTAGATATGAGGAAAATAGTCAATTCTCCATCAATACCAAAGTCTGCCAGAAACATTATGTATTAATGAATCTCACAATATTTTACCATTTCATTGTGCTTGCATGTTTGCTGGGAAGATTTCAAGAATTAATATGATTTAATAGGCAGCTTACTCTTGGTTATAGAGACAAATGGTAGAATCAAAACTCAAAGTCACCATTTCTGACTAATGCATCCATCACAATGGCCCATTATTTTAATCAGCCTATATCCAATAAAATTGACATCACTTAATGCAAATCTGTCATGTTCACTGGTAATAACATAGAATTATGGGAGGAAAGGATGAAAGCTGAATAGAAAGTATGATTCCAGCTATTGTTGTATTATAATTAGGAAGATCTATATTTAATCTGCTTTCTTCATAGCTCCAAATACCTACTAAGAAAATCATAGAACATCACCATAGCTTCTAGTTATTAAGAGATGTCCAAGGAAAACTCAAATTAATTCTCACTAAGGAAATTAGCTAATGACATGTGTTAAAACAATTAATTATATTCAATCCTTCATAGGTTCTCCAAATTTACTTGACTAGGTTCTTACACTTTCATGAAATAAACTGACTTTAATGTAAAGCCTAATAAAATTAAAAATAAATGAGCTCCTGAGGGAATGAAATCAATGAACTACAAAGTAACTTCCTGATTTTTCTCTGATAATGTCAATCTCAACAACAGCAGTACAGGCTCACTGTATAGGTAAGAGCAACGCATGACAAAGGAGTAAGGTGCACATAAAACCACCTTAAAAGCCACTGGTAATTCCCTCTCCCTCTTCGTCCACCACATTTCTTTTTTTGCCCCCTTCCTTCCCTTCTTCCCTCTATCTTGAATGCATACATTTGAATACACTTGAACTTACACAGCTTTATATACTCTGCAAACTTTATAATAATTCAGTGTTAGTATGTTTCTCCTTTACAAAAAAATATTAAAATAAGAACTCCTTTTAAAAAGGATTAAGGAGAAGGCATTTAAATTATAAGCAACATAGATGGACTTATTTCTTTTACTAATGAATGATCTAGCACCCATTTGAGGATAGCTACAGGATCGAGCTCATACAATACGAGCTAAAAGGTAGAAAAGCTTCCTTAGTGTGTGAGACATTTTTTTCTGAATTGAGGCCATGCCCATCACCACTGGAAGATTCTAAAATAATGTGGACTTCTGTTATTTAGGCTAATGCAGCAGCATATCCATCTGCTGTTGAAGGTCACTTGTATCATGAATTTCCTTTGTTATTGCAGCCAAGTGTGGGCTATTCTTGATCTACTTTGGAGGTACTTATATTAAGCAATGCAATAGATGAAATGCCTTCCAGTAACATTCTTACACATCTTTCCTACCACCATCACTATACAGAATAGATTGTTCCAAGAAAGACTTTATCCTACTAAAAAAGAACAACAACATTTCAAAATGGAAAAGCACAAATCAAGCAAAACAGAGAAATTCTAACTATTCCATTATTTCAAAAAGCTACTTAGCTTGCCCATATTAAATCAGTGGGTTAAACATTTATTAATATAAAGTTTTATTTTTTCCAAAGAAAATATTCATCATAAAATTTATGCTCACATTTGCATTCCTTACAGCATTTGCCATCCACATATGCAGGAGCTGATTTAAGTGGGCAGTCAGGAACTGGACAGATCAAAGTTTCACACTGGATGGTTCCATTCTGAAAAGTAAACAATATTTAAAGAATTTCTAAGTAGGAATTAAATCGTCTCCAAGGTTTTTTTGGTCCATTTTTAAAATGTCAAACTCTTCATATAAATACCCTATTTCCTTTATCTTCTTAAACAAATTTAAACATCCAAACACAGTGACCCACAGCAATAAAAGTTGAATCATAACATATTTGGTGACTGATCCCAATCTTTTGTCAAGCATCTGATCCTAAATGAACTAGAGTCCTAATCTTCTGTAGACAATTGGATATGGACACAGGTGATGGGAAGGGCACCACGCATCAGGGGGAATAGCAGGCTCAGAGTAGGCTTGGAACACTCAATTATCCCCAGGTTACTCACAAAATGAACATCAACAAACCAGGAAATTTCTTGACTAGCTGCTACCATCATGGAAGTCCCAGTCTTAAGAATATTTAATGAATATGTAAGATTGGACAGGCTACCCCTACAAAGAAAGCTAGTATTGACGATTACCACAAGGATGCCCCAAACTGCAGACAGGCCCACAAGGAATTTGATTCCTTAAGGTCATCTGAAGATCTCAAGTGGTTGTCTACTTAGGCTTTCATACTCATTTTATTGACTTCGCTATAACATACCTTGTATTTTACTCAATTAGATTTTTTTGGTGACCATTTAACAAGACTGGGAAGGCTTTACTGGATTTGTAAAGTGTTATAATTTTGGCAGAAATATGCTATTTTACTGAATAAAAATCCGTTCTTTCTCTCTTCATCTCTTATACACACTCAGTTATTTCTGAACTACTTTCTTATTTACATGATATTCTACTTTTGAAAAAATGAGATGAACATGGAAAAATTGTTTTAAAGGTTAATTCACATAGATCTTTGATTTCTCTCTAGAAAGACTACTTTTTATCAGATGAGTTCAATGTGAAATTTAAAAGTTCAAAACCAAACTCATTTTGAACTTTTGAATATACTGTTATAAAATATAAATATACTGTTATAAAATAAAATAATAATGCATTAAAATAGTCTACCTTATTTGTGAGCAATTATACCAAAATCATGTTCATTTAAACTCTATGGTTTGTATTCCACTGTATTAGTAAGCTATTAGAGATAATCTTATTTTTTAAACTTCATTATTTGTTTACATTGCTCAATTTGAACATGATATTTAATGCCATTTACAATTTACTTTCACTAAAATGTATTAATAAAACGAAGAGGGTCAAAATCCATGGAAATGCTAATGAGGACTATAAGAGAATCCTTTGAGAATCACCTTAATATGCTAATTTAAATTGCTCTCTTCATGTGTGTATCAATAAACATAAACTTTATAGCATTCCTAAACCATAATCTTCTTTACAGACTAGAAAGTGTTTTTAATAATGCAACACAGGGTTTCTTAGATGTGACCAGGTTTTCTGGCACTTTAATGTTGTGTCTTGAGGAAATGGGTCTTGAAATTTTCATGATTACATTGTTTTAATAAATTTTTAAAGAAGTGCGAACATATGAGTTCCCTTCCTCTGAACACAAATGGAAGCCATACCAGGCATGTGCAGTTTTTACAGCCATCTGTCCAGGACTCGAATTCTCGGTAGGTGGTTTCCTTCATGGTGCAAGTCCTCTCACAATAGCACTGATCCAGTCTATTCATTCGCTGTTCAGCTCGAGACAGCTGTGGCACAAAAGAAGGGTTCACATTGTTCACCATCCCAGCAACACAGAAATGCAAAACATTCTGGCAGCCATCTAAGTTTTTTAAGGATCTAGCAATAATGATATCTGTACCCATCATCCACCTAATTATTAACATACTTAAACCTTTAATTTAAAAGAAAGAGGTTTTCCTTCTTTACTTTTTGCGAAAAATTTTTGCCTTTAAAACAAAAAGAACAATTTATAAAACACAAATCAATGTCTAATTCAAAATCATATAACTCAATGCAGAAAAGCATTTTCCATGTTTTTTTAAAAAATGTTGCCTCATTAATATGTTCACTCAAGTGAAAAAGGAAATGTAGGAGTTATATCATATAAATAACAAGTCATACACTATACAACACAACCTTCAAGTAATTCATAACTATTGTGCAAAATAAAAAATCCAGTGAAATTGTCAGAAAACCTGATATATGCTTAAGACATTAGTGAATCAACCTATAATTGTAATATAGTGATAGAAAGCATTTGTGAAACCATTTCCTTGACTAAATTATAGTATCCATATTCTTTACACAGTCTTGCTGCCTCTGGCTTATGACAAAAAGCTAAGTAGGAATAACTAATAATAAAAACTTAAACTAAAAATAAATCTTGCTGTGTGATAAGCAAGGGATAAAAGGTAATCTGCTTTATTCCTGATTTACTGAATCATTTGGTATACAGATGGCTGGGGTCTGAATATTTATAAGCCTTCTCCTTGAGCAAGGATTTAGATTCAATCCTACCAATAGTATGGTATAAAGAATGCTTCAAAGGAGAAAATCAATGGTTATAAAAAGAACTGTTTGAAACCTCAAGGATTTCTTAGTTTCTTCACTATACTTGTGAGTAGCTTTTACCTTGGCGGATGTTTTGGCTAAAATATCCTGCAGCTCCATGATTTTCTGCACAAGTCCATGGAAGTCATTGCAAGTTGGACAAGCTGGAAATACAAACACAACATTGGTCAAATTGTATTTATAAGGGGCTCAATCTGATTAAGCCTATGCTGGCATCCATTAGATGTGAACTCCAATTTCAAACTGACATTCTGGACCAAATTAAGCAAGAAACACACTTTTCATCACATAACACAGTGGAAGGACAAATAGACTTACTGCGATTAAGATCTGGGCACTGAGCAATAAATCCTTGGGGCATGACTAGTAATTGCACATCTTGCATTATACCCTGTGTGTGAAAAACAAAGAAAAAGAAATATTGTTTTCATTTACCAAAATTATGTTCCATAGTCAAGTTCATGAAGAAAACATTAAAGAACGGATTCACCAAAATCCCTGAGTAAAGAGTCTTTTAAATATATTCCTTCTACTTCATACCAAGGGAAAGAAATTCATCAGGCAAAACAGATTATTATCCATGTAGTCTCTTATTGATAATATTTTTAAAGCCTTAAGATTAAATGTCAAGATATAATTAAGTGGTGATAGGTTGTTTGGAGAAGTTATTTTTAGTTAGCCACAGAAGTAGGGCTTGAAAATGACCTTTAAAAATTAACCTAAAATTCACTTCTGGCTTCAGAAACACTGATATTATTACAAATTTTGAATTAAGTTTAATCATCAAAAAGAACAGAATAGAAAAAGTAAGTCTTTAAGGCAATGCGCATTTCAGCATTTCTCATTTTTCAGTGGGATATTTTAAAACAAATTTCTCAACTCAAAAAGAACAATAGATTTATTAAACAGCTGCAGCAAGATTGAGTGATGAGTCTTTAAGAGTACAGAAAGTTTAACATAAAATGCCAGCTGGAAATGACCCGTTTTACACTGAAGGCTTCATCCCATGTTTATAGGCAAAATTTACATGCATCCTTAGTCATTAAGGTATAATTAGCTTCCAGCTTGCTGAGCTCTTAAAGCAAAGGCCAGTGCTAACTCAGAAATTATCTCATCAGACACAATCCAGCTGTCTCTTTCATTCATCACCTCTCTCTTCCTTCATCAACTTTTTTTTTCCTTTAATTGATATTTCCTTTATTCCTTTGAAAAATGAATAAAAAATAAATGAAAAATTTCCTTTATTCCTAAACAAAATGTCTAATAGCATGGGTAAAAGTTCCAACATGTTATGAAGGCAATTCTGAATGTACCCATAGAGATTTACTAGTTAAATACTTGTCTGTTTATCTTTCACATGTGTACTCTGATTAATAAGCAGGTATCACTATGAATGATAAACATTTTGGTATACTGTGTGGCAATTACTGGATTTGTTATTCGCTTGAGTTTTGGACAGAGAAGATAACTCCTGCACAAACTCCTCTATCACTTAAAAGCAGCAATGTTAAAAAAGGCTTTACATATTTTTATACAGTTTATGTACTTCACAAATTCTAAAGGAGACCATTCACTGGCTATAATACAAATGATTATCCACAGAGTTGTACATATAATTGATGTGTGAGGACTGTGAAGTCACATCTGGGCTCCCTTGGAAAGACTTTCATAATTAAGTTGAGGAGAAATTTGGATCTCACAGCATGCATCTTCCATACCTTACATGGGACAAGAACATTGATTTTTAGAAATTGTATGCACGGAATCAATTTTCCACATGTGTCACTTATTAGTTGCCTGGGTTTGGGCAACTCACTTAACCTCTCTGAATAGGTTCATGCAGGAAGAAAGGACAATGTATTAACACTAACAAGGGTAGGGATAAGTAGGAATAGTATGTCCAAAGCACCAGGCAATAATGTTTAAATAAGTTTTACAACAAATTACCTTTCTAAAAATTATATGCTTTGCTTAGACACAATTTTAAATTTATTTGTACCTCTATCATAAAATCCAAAAGTTATACATATCATCTATCATTCTTTAACAACCATTCATGAAGCCATTTCTGCGCAGCAGGCACTGTTATAGTCACTGGGAGAAAATGGTTGCACTATGGGCTTGTAGCCAAGCAACTCTCTGGACTTTATTTCTTCATCCTTAAAACACTGAAATTAAATCTTTCTTTTTTTGGCAGGGGGGACCAGGAATTGAACTCAGGGGCACTTGACCACTTGATCTACATCCCCAGCCATATTTTGTATTTTATTTAGAGATAGTGTCTCACTGAGTTGCTTAATGCCTCACTTTTGCTGAGGTTAGCTTTGAAACTCTCAATCCTGATCCTCTTGCCTCAGCCTCCCAAGCCACTGGGATTATAGGCATCTGATACAGCACCTGGCTGAAATTAAATCTTTTGATCCTCTCCAATTATGTATTTCTGTGAAGTGGTTCTAAGTACACACTAAAAAAAAGATATAAATTATGACTGCTCTCTTTTTGGACAGATTTGCGGACATAATGTATTCTTTTCTTATTTTCTGGAGTATGAGGAGACCATGAATAATGAATGTTAAAAAGCTTCAAATTTCCTAGTTAACATCCTTTAAAAGTATCACCAAAGGTTATATTTCAGTCATAGAGTATCTGTCTGTATGTTAACATTTTATATTTTTATTGCTTTGAATGCTTAATTTTAAGAATGACATGTTAACTGTCCCAACTGCAGCCTGTGACCATCTCTATAATGTTTAAGGATCAAACTCTCTGAGAAGTCATTGTGCCAGTTAAATAAAAGACCAGTGTAAAAGGGAAAAAAAGGAAAATAGAAATAGATACAAATTTCAAAAGTGCACCTATATTATTTTTGATCCACACCATAAAAAGTAAAACAAGCTTATCCAAACTCATTAGAAAACATCTACAGTTTATGCTCAGATTCTAACCAAAAGATACCTTGAAGTATCCATGTGCATTATTTCTCTGTCCCAACCAAAATGTTGTGCCCAGAGGGAAGTCTGTAGAGGGCTTTTCCACCACTCTTTCATAAATTCTGTAAAAAGAAAAATCAGAGAAGGAACATGAACAGAGAGTCATTTCTTAGAATCTTCGATTTCCTGAAGTGAGAACATTTCACTTACTTATTGCAGTCAATGTGTAAAATCAAATGGGAGGCACTGATGGCTAAAGAGAGCTTGTGCCACTTGTCATCAGCCAAAATATAAGGAAACACTTCTGTGTGAGGACGGTGACTGCCTGAGCGGTAATGCAGTCTGACTTCATTCCGATGGCCACTGCTTTCTAGTTCCAGATACCTACAGAGAGAAGAGCCAAAAGGGACACATTAAAATTAAGTTCAGAAATTATTGAGGTAACATCTATCCAGAATAGATAGATGTTCCCATTCCTCCCATTAAGCACAATTAGATACTATATATAAAACAAATATAAGAGTTTAACGCACTATGCAATGTACATATGTATTGAAACATCACATGATACCCTATATATATATAATTTTTATGGTTTTATATATCAGTTAAAAGATAAGTTTAAATTTGATACAGAGTGGGGGAAAAAAGAAGAGACTAAAAAAGAAAAGAGAGAAAACCAGTTAGGGACTTCAGGACCCAAAACCAATATTGTAGTGAGTTCCCTTGGCGTTTTTTTCTTGTTGTTGTTGTTTTGTTTTGTTTTGTTTTGTTTTGTTTTGTTTGCCTACTATATATCAGACTTGGAGCTAAAGAAGCCCACATTTTGGAAATACCAAAGAATGCAGACCAAAATAATCCCCATCAAAATCTTCTCTGTCTATCCAAAGGATAAAAGATTGTTTATATGAAGGTTAGATACTTAAACAATCTAGAAGTTCTTCTGTGGGTGACTGACTAAACAAATTGTTATATAATAGTACAAGGAATATTGTTCAGCAATAAGAAAGAATGGCTAAATAAGGGTTGGGAAGGGGACCGAAGCAGGAAAGTTAGTTTGGTGCTATTGCAATAATCTACTGGAGTGGTGTCTTAGATCAGGGTAGTTGCGGTAGATAAGACAGAAATTGTTTCTTGGGCTGGGGTTGTGGCTCAGTGGTAGAACACTTGCCTAGGATATATGAGGCACTGGGTTCAATCCCCAGCACCACATAAATATAAAAACAAATAAAGGTATTGTGTTCATCTATAACTAAAAAATATTTTTAAAAAGAAATTGTTTCTATGTTACATATATGTGTAAAATTAAGCTGTCAGAATTTGCTGATGTAGAGTGTTGACAAAACAGAACAATTTAGTGGAGACTGGGTTTTTTACTTCAATGAGTTAAACATGAATAAGCAAAAAATAAGAAAGGTGTTTATTGATATGCAGGATATGGGAAGAGCAAGCTTAAGAAAACTGAATCAAGATGTAAAGAAAGAGGAACCCATTCATACTTCTGGAAGGTATGAAAATTAGTACAGCATTATGGAAAACAGTATGGAGGTGATTTAAAAATAAAAAATAGAACTATCACATAATCCAGAAATGTCACTACTAATATGTGTGTGTACATATATGTGTATATATCTCCAAAGAATATAAAATCAGTATATGGAATAGATATCTAAGACCCCTTCCATGTTCATAGTAACATTATACCACTATTCACAATAGTCAAGAAATGAAAACATGTCCATCAACTGACAAACAGAGAAATTGTGGTAAATACCCAGAACAGAATACTAGTCATCCATTTAAAAAAAAAAAGGAATGAAATCCTTTCATTTGCAGCAACATGGATGGAAATGGAGATTATTATGTTAAGTTTAAAAAGCCAAGCACAAAAAGAAAGTACTGCATGATCTCTCTCATAAGTGGAATATAGAAAAGCTGAACTCATAAAGTTCAGAATAGAATGATGGTTACCAGAGGCTGGGGAAAGTAGTAGAGAGAGAAACTTTGGCCAATGGTTACTAAAATTGCAGTTGGATAGAAGCAAGAACTTCTGAGGTGCCATTGCACAGTGGAGTGACTATGGATAACAATAATGTACTACACATTTTAAAAAACTTTTTAACGAAAAGAAATGGTAAGTATTTGAAACAACAGACATATGTAGCCTGAATTAAACATCACACAATGTGTACATGTATTGAAATATCACATGGAATCCCATTAATATGGACAATTTCATGTTTTTATATGTTAAAAATAAATTTAATTTAAATTAAAAATAAAATTAAAAATACAATAAACTCAAGATATTATGTTTATATTGTGAGTTGTTAATGAACACTGAAGAGGATACATGAGCAGGGGAAAATAAATTTGTAAGTCTGAAATAAAGAGGTTTATAATGAACAAAGCAATGTGAGAGTCACAGGAACATAGATCATATAAATAGCCATAAAGACACAGGGATTGACAGGCAATTAACACAGACAGAATAAGGAACCTGGCCATTCTGAGGAGGAATCAGCAAAGGAAATCAGCAAATTTGGTCAGCAAGATTAGAGGAGAGAAAAGTGAGAGAGGTATCGCAAAGGTTTAGTAATAAAGAGCATGCCTCAAGAAAGCAGGAGTGTGTCAAATGCCACTGACAGATCAAATAAGATAAAGACTTAATCTGTCGATGTATGTCTAGTAACCCTAATGTTATTTGGGGAAACTTTTAAATGAAAAGTCTGATTGAATAGGTTCAAGAGAGAATGGGCAAAGAGAAATAAAAGAAAATGAAGAGATATTTTAGGAGCAATAGGAAAGTAGATTCTCATAGACATGTAGTAAAGGGAGATTTTTACTGTTGTTGAGAAACACTATGTAGGTGTATGCTGCTGGGGATAATCCTGCAGAAGAAGGAAATTAGTCATAATTGAAAGAAAGAAGAATTTGGAATAAAACAGAAGCCACATAGTAAAACATAGTTAATTACATTTTAACTATATAAAAAAATATAGTTTTCTTAATGGAAAAAAATAGTATAAATAAAATTAGACAACAAATGGCATTTTATAAGACAAAATGAAATATTTAATAGATTAGAGGTTGATGTTCACAATACATGAAGAAGAGCTGTATGTCAGTAAGAAAAAGTAACTCAGTGGATTTACCAAATAGATTATCAAAAGTTAAAAGAATAATAAGGACTATTATGAATAAGAAAGTGGGGAAACAACACTCTGATTCAAGATTTGTTCATAAACTTACAGGAGCATCTTGAAAAGTAATTTGGAAAAGTATTCAATATTAAACAAGAATACTTTTTAAACTAGCAGTTCCAAATCTAAAAATCTACCCTACTAAAATAACAGCACAAATAAGCAATGATGTATTCAGAAGATGCTCATGGAAGATTTATTTAAAATCTTAAATAAAACTCTAAAAAATATAGATTTTAAACCAAAATTAATCAGAAGAGATAAAGAAGATAATTCAATACTGGTTAAGGTAATCATCCAACAAGATATAATGATTATAAGTATTTATTCCCCAAAGTCAGTCATCTACTTACTTAAACTCTACTTGATACAAAGACTAAGACCCCAAAATAATAATGTTGGGTGATTTCAATATACCTTTCTCACCAATAGACAGGGCATCCAGACATAAACTAAGTAAAGGCTCTTCAGAACTAAAAAAATAAAGTTTTCTTAATGAAAAATTAATCAATGGACCTAGCAGATTTCCAAAGAATATTTCATTCATCAACAAATAAATGTGCTTTATCTTAGCTACACATGGAACCTTCTCCAAAATAGACTATATTTTAGGACACAAACAAGTCTTAGTAAATACAAAAAAGAAAAAAGAAAGGAAGGAAAATAAAGATAATTCCCTGCATATGATCAGATCATAACAGAATGGAGTTAGAAATCAGTTTCAAGATTAAAAAAAAAAAAACAGAAATCCCAAATAAGTAATCTAGTGTTACACCTCAAGACCCTAGAAAAGCAAGAAGAAACGAAATGCAAAATCAATAAGAGAAATAGAAGACAGGAAATAGTAAGATCAGAGCCAAAAATTGAGAATAAACAAAAATTACAAACATCATGTATCAAAGGTTTAGTTCTTTGAAAAGATAAATAGGATTGATAAACCTTTAGCTAAACTAACCAAAAGAAATAGAGAGAAGACTCAAAACAACAAAATCAGAGATATCAACACAGATATTTTTGAAATCCAGAGGAAATAACTAAAAACTATTTTTAAATAAATCTTTTTTTATTTTTTATTTTTAGATATACATGATAATAGAGTCCATTTTGACATATCATACATACATGGAGCATAACTTATTAGGATTCCATTCTTATAGTTGTATATAAGGTGGGGTTTCACTGATCATGTATTCAAATATGAGCATAGGAAGTTATATCCGATTCATTCTACTGTCTTTCTTATTCCAATCCCTCCTTCTCTCCCTTCATTCTGCTTTGTCTAATCCAATGAAGGTCTATTCTCCCTGCCCCTGCTTTATTTTGTGTTAGCATCCACATATCATAGAGAACATTCAGGCTTTGGTTAAAATAAAATCTTTAAAAATATTTTTAAATTTTTTAAAATCAGAAATTCCAATTATTCATTCATAAAGGAACCATGATACATCTGTATTCTAGAACACTATGTTGCTCTACAAAAAAACAAGATTTTGAAATGAAACAATACAGTTTACTAGTAAGTAAAAACAATACAGTGTACTAGTAAATAAAGAAAAAAAGCCCTATATAACCCATTTGGTTTGGCAAAACTTTGTGCACACCAATCTATTTGGAGAAATAAAAGGTCAAGATGGATAATGCCAAAATGTTAACAATAGTACTTTAGGGAATTTCAAACAAAGGGAAATAATATAAGAAAGCATTACATACATATATGTATATGTCCATGTCAATATGTATATATATACACATTAAAAGTTTATATATATACACATATTAATGTGTATATATTCATTTGCAAGTATATAGTAAAAATTCTATGTTAAGATATAAAGAAAAAGATAAGTAATCGAAAATGTAAATCATATTCAGAAATTATGAAGAATAAATAAACACCAAATTGTTTGGATTTTATTCAATAGCCACCAACCAAAGAATACTTTTTAAATTTTATTTTCAACTGAAATGACTGTACATATTTATGAAATACAATGTGATAATTCAATCCATACAATGTATAATAAAAATTTTGAATAATTATCATATCCATATCTCAAACATTTATCATTTCATTGGGTGAGAATATTCAAAATCCTCTCTTCTAAAGGTTTTAAAATATATAATGAATTGTTGTTAACTATAATCACCCTGCAAGTGTTAGAATTTATTCTTTCTATCTAA